CATCGGAAGATTCTCTTGCCCGTGTTCGTAACTCATACGAACAAGGTGGTCGGTCGTTGGACGGACTACAAACTGGCCTTAGTGGTTGTAGTGGGCCTAGGGCTCACTAGTTAGCTTACACGTGTGCGCACGTGTAGGAGGAAGCGTAGGTTTTCCTAGGTTCTATAGTGTACACACGATGCGTGTGTACAGTAAGAGAGGAATAAGATAGCGTAAAATGAGAACTGTTATTGTTGTTTAAAGTGTTTCCTTCCTAAACTCATTATCTAATATCTAAGGGACTGTCAGCGAGTGGCTGACAGCGATCCGCTTTGCTGATTGGTAGAGGTGTGGCGCACTCTACCAATAGGATCTCTTTAAATGCAATCTTGATGTATTTACACACCAAGATAGGAAACCTCTAACTCTAACCGGTTAACGTTGCGGTTAGTGACCCCGTTACAGTGGTCCTCCAGTCGGGCTCCTCAGCGCGTTCAGTAAGGCAGCTTATCCTCACTTAAGTCTTCCACGGCAACTGAACTCTATTTAACTCTTAACGTCTTATGATCTTCTGTCTTCTTACGGTCTTCTTCTTGGTTCTCTTGTACACGCATCAATGATGAAGGTGCTTGTAAATCTGGATCTCTTGGCTTCAGTATGGGGTAGTTAACCCACGGGTAGACACATCACATGTTGACGGTTCCTCCGTGTCGGTAGATATTGCTACGTCGCGACGAATTGATTTATACGGATTTGATCCTGGATGTCCATATCCAGGGCGGATTCACCCTGGATGGCCAGCGTATCCAGACCCTTGTAAACACTCCGCACACGATACCCAACCATGTCAGCGCTTGTTCACCCAGGGTGGACTCTCGTCGATCCTGGATGACCTTCGTTGTCGGAGTCAATTCTGGTTGTCAGTCGTCATTCATCTCTTGGTAACACTGTTGAGACGCTCGTTGACACGCTCCAATTGGGGTTGGTAGCTGTAACACCAGGGCGATTCAAGTCAGGACAGGTGTCTATCCGAGATACGTTCTTCGGGGCGCTTCTCTACCTTCCTGGTTCACCTGTCGTCAGGCTATCTGCGGCTCGGACCGAGTGGTTTACTTCATCCTGGATGGTTCTAAATCCTAGATGACCACTTCCAAATTTATGCCCTTTCCTTGAACACACACACCTGCTAGTCCATTTCCATCCAGAACAGTCTTTCTCCATGTCTCACGCAGGCGCCAGCTCTGAACTCATCGGTCTTGATGAATCAGCACGCCACTTTACCCCTTCATATATACATCTCTCAATTTGTAATCCACATCGCCACATCTTGATGGTCGTCCTACCCGCCATACCTCGACCACCTCCGAACTTCGCATGACGGAGAGCTTAGAGAGAGATGGGGGATGATGATTTCATGCTCGGGCTCAAGATAAATCATCCGGCCTCCGTGATGCCTCTACGAGAGATAATATTTTGAAAGTCAAGGCTGTGAAATCCTCGGTGGTGGCAAGACCCGCTGAATCTAGGAAATCGGTCCAAGCGCCACGAAAGGTCAGGCCTCTGTCGCGTTCCGTGTCAATAGCCCGTGGGTCTCACACGTCGAACGACGACTCGTTGGTGTCGTCGACACCTGCTCTACTTACGTTGAGCGAACCTCGGCCACGCGCTCGGCCTCAGTCCCCAATGCCTTGCTCGAGGGGTGTGTCACACCCGGCCCATTTTACTTGGAACTCTCGGACAGCTCGTTCAGTGCTCACTGACAGTGGCACTCGGTCGTCAAGGATGTCCTCGACCTCGAATTCTCCTATCAGATGGTTTGGCTCCCAACTATCTTACGGTAGCAACTCATCATCGAAGTCAAACCTTGAATCCTCGGTCACATCGGCAGCCAACCGAATCTTAGGTCTGTCTTCAAATTTGCTTACTGCCTTCAAGCGGGACACATGTGCCACTGGATAGAACCTATATCCACATCGATCGGGCAGTTCGAGCTCGTACACAAATTATTCTACCTTTTTCTTCACCCTGAAGGGCCCGTGCCATATGTGGGCTAATTTCTTCGTTAACCCAGGTTTCCCTCGTCCCATATATATCCAATCCGACTACCGAGTTTAAACAGCGATTGTGGCGTATCGTCCGATACCTCGGTCGGATCCACTGTCCCATGCTGTCCTGTCTCAGAAGTAACGATTGCCCCTATCCCAGGAATTGCAGCCCTTTGACGCTTGCTCAATGATTCGTTGTGTTTTGCTGCTCGTCGTTCTTTCTCAGTCGCTTGATACTCTTTTTTCATCTCCAGTGCTATGCCTTGTTGTCGATTTACTTCCCGGTGTCATACCAGGGCATCGTACGGTTGCCCGTTATCGTTTCGAAGTGACGAGGACATCGCCTTGAGCGTCGATTGCGCGCCCCATCCATACACGAGATAAAACAGTGTTACTTTTGCTTGTGCTATCCAGCGAGTGGTTGATGGCGAAGATCATTTTCTGTCCGATCTCGTCCCAGTCCTGCTGCAGTTGATCCTCTGCGTACACCCTTACTGACTGCATGACTGTTTTCACCGAGCGTTCTCGCTGGCCGTTTGTGTGGTGAAGCGGAATCCGTGAAAATATAGTTGTCGCGGTTCCCGATATACTGGCACCCGGACACCGGCTAACGAAGGGGATCCTCCGATGATCCGTGGTCTGGTTTAGTTCTTGCTCACCTTGTGTACCCGACGGCGGGCGGGTTACTCTCTCCTGAGTGACTCGTTCGATGTATATCTGGAAAGGTGGGAACGTAGGGGCTTGAGATAGCGCGGAACGTCTTCGCTCTACCTCGCGTTGGTTGATCTCGATCGCAGGCGAGTCCTTGAGCCGTGATCGATCTGCCTGGTTGTCGTTCCAGGTCTTTGGGGGGTCCAATGTCGGAGATCTTGCTCCTTCCTTGTGTATGCTTGCCGCTTCCAATAGCGGAGAACTTGTTGCGTAGAGATCCGATGCGAGGATCCGATGCGATCTTCAGGCCAAGCAATCAATGCCTTCCGATCAACAGTAAGCACTTGAGGACAAGTCACTAGGTAGGGCAAAGCTGGCCAATATATTATCCAGGCTTAACTGCTACGCTAGATCCTACGTCCTTACCGTCTGCGCGTATGAGAGGCCAAACTAATCCCCGATTCCAGGCGTAGGCGGACACTTGTGCAGCTTAGAGCAAATTCGAGTCTGTTTACGTGTATCCTTATATCCACTAACCCATCCTCAGCTGCTTTCCTACGATCACCTGACATCCGGATACCTACCTCATCCTGGGATCTGTCGATCGCGATCGTGATCGTCGATCGCGATCGTGATCGTCGATCACGATCGGTGATCTCGATCGGCGACTCCGATTGGTGATCTTGAGCCATCTCCTGATCGTCGTCGCGCGGTGACCTTCATCGTCGCTGCTCATCCCGGGGCGCACGATTGCTGCCACTCGACGATCTCGCCTCGCCTCCTTCCTCCGACCCTGGATCACCATCTTGCCTTGACCTGGGATCACCTTTACCTCGCGTATCTTGATCTGTGATAAGCGCGGCTTCAACGTTGCCATCCCCCTTCGACCACTGTCCGTTGACCCGCCACAGTCTCGGATCGCTGGTCGACAGCGACTCATGTCCACCCATTCCCCTTGATCGTGCATTCTCGCGGCACGGCATGGGTATTGTTGCCATCCATCATTCCAGGGGTCAGTCTTGGGTCATCCAAAGTCAACATCACTCACCGGCGTTGTCGCACGCCGGATCTTGGAGAAGTGACCTGATGCCTTGGCTTGGAGTTAGATTTCTGCCTCCTGGTCCGTCTCTATCTCGCGATCTGGCAGCCGAGGTTGCCTTTCTCGTGTGCTTCACCACATCCGCCTCAACCCGCAAGTTGGACCGTCCTGGTTTACTTCAGGTCTCATTCCACAATTCGCCAACTCGGGTGCACTCCTCTCCAGCCTCCCGCCAGCCATCCCCATGAGTCAGTCAGCAACCCCGGGAGTCCCCCAATTCCGACTCCTCCCGACTCCCCGCAGTCAACATGGAGCAACCTTCACTAACTCGCGTCGCTCGCACTCCTACACCTCCGATCAGGGTCGACGGTTAGCCACCTTGGAGGCCGAGCTCCGCCGGAGCAGCCTCGCGCGTGATCACCTCGTCCGGGATCGAGATCATCTTGATCTGCAAGTCTGTCAGCTCCGGGACGTTGGAAGCGTTCCAGCACGGCCAACAAGACGAGATCACTCGCCTGGAGGTCGAGATCTCGACTCTCGCCAACGACACCGACGCTGATCCCGAAGGCATCCGCACCCAGGTTCTCCAGCTTCCCACCGAGCGCAACGACTTCGAACGCCATGCGATTTCCGCCCGTGAAGATCTCCATCGCACCGAGGCAGATCGCGATCGTTTACATCAGGAGGCTACCCAGGCCGCGGACGAGATTAGAGACATGCAGGAGCAGGTTCGCGGTTGGCAGCGCGAAACCGACGAAGCGAGGTCCGAATCCGCCACAGCTCTCGCCAACTACAACCGGATCTCCACCAGACTCGCCCATCCACAACCAGATCGCAGAGAGAGATCTCCCCTTGGAGGTTCTACTCGCCTGGTCCAGGTAGACTGGGATCGCGCATGGCAGATCATGCTATCGCCCACGCGACCCTGAAGCCGGTGACCTCCGATCGAGATCGGGCCTTCACGCAAATCGCCCAGGTCACTGAGGATCAGGATCAGGCACTGGCCGATCGCGACACGGCCCTTCAGGATCGTGATCAAGTGATCGCTGAACGCGATCAAGTACGCCTGGGCCTCCTCACCGAAGCGGCTCGCGTCGCCCAGCTGGGTAAGTGAACCTCGCCGTCCGATCTATCACGATCTCTTTCTAACACTTGTTTTCCGCAGATGATAACCTCGGAGTCGTTCGTTTGGAGCTTCAGGGGTGGGAACACCGGATGCCGGACCTCCAGCAGGCCCACGATCAACTCGGCGAATTGCGAGATCTGGCCGAAGGCGATCTGACCGAGGCCGATCGGTTCCTAACGCATCTCGCTAGCCGGATTCGAAAGAGTCAAGCGGCTCGGATGCCGAAACGCGATCGAAGTCCGCCCCGTTCTTCTCCCCAATTACCGCCTCTCAAGTCCCCCCCCTCGAAAGAGTCAAGCGGCTCGGATGCCGAAACGCGATCGAAGTCCGCCTCGTTCTTCTCCCCAATTACCGCCCCGTTCTTCTCCCCAATTACCGCCTCTCAAGTCCCCCGCGACGATCGGCCTACTTCTCCACCGCCCGACAAAGATAACCCCAAGATCGAGGGCCCCGAGGGTGAGGAGCTCGAAGATAAGCGCGAGATCCCAGGCGGGGGCGGAGGTGATCTTGACGATGACAATTCCCTTCCTGAGAGAATGGATCTTTGACTCCTCCTCCTTCACCCCACGGATCTCCCGGAGGAAGTCCACGTGGTGGTTCCCCTGGTGATTCACCCGGTGGTGGCTCACCTCTCCAGCTGCATCCCCCATTGTTCCCTGCCGAGGCGAGTGTTCCTCTCCATTCTATGGCCCACATTTTCACGGCAGCCGAGATCACCCCGTGGGATCCTTCTATCGTGGGGTCCATACTGATCATCGCCATGATTCAGTCCACTTTGACCAAGAGGTTGCCGATTCCGCCCGACCTCCTGTTTCCTGCTTGTTCGGGCTCCAATATCCAGAACCGGTTACCATTCCGTGACTCGTGCTTCGACAGAACCGTCCCACTCCGCTGACTTTCGATCACAACCCGCACCGGCGTGCCAACACCCCTCTATGGCGGATCGCCGTGTCATATACCGGGCTGGAGGAAGATCACCTGATAGCGTATTGAGCATCGACCCATTACCTGGAGATCACGAAAGCGATGCTTGCCTCGGACCCCGATCTCTTCATCTACTACCAGGATCGACGTCAGCGTCGCATCCGCGTTGGGGATCGCTGGCGGTCCCTCCCGATGATGAGAAGCCAGTGGACATCCTGCTGGCCTCCACCTGCCGACACCCCAGGATCGAGTACGCTGGTATCCCGGATCGGTCTCCAGGGCGGCCAATCTCGCGCTGCCGACCGCGAAAATCCCCGAACCGACCGCCCTGAATACGGCCCTGTTCGAGTGCGATCAGGCAGACCACCGGCGGAAGCATTACCGCGATCCAGGTGCCGCTCATCCATCGCTGCAGATCCCTCGTCTCGTGCACAAATTCAAACCTCCAGCGACTTCTTGATCGTGGATCTGACTTCACTTCGGGGAAAACTTCCGGGATCCCCACTCGCCATCCCGCGATCGCGATTTCTTCCTGTCGTAATTCTCAAATCTCAGCCACACCTTCTGCTTGTTTGCTCTTTTTGTCGCTCTCCCTAAGAGAACTCTCTTCAGACACCACGCCTTGCGCAATCCCTCGCGAAGGTCGACATTTCCTATATGCACATATACATCATGGACTTCTGATCTCAGTCTCATCCGACTTGCACTTCCTCGGGGTCGAGACTATCAGACAATCTCACCCCGTCCTCCTTACATCTCCTCATGTGATTTCATCACGTTGAAGCGGTTACGATTAGCTCGATCTCGCAGGAAGGCGTTCAGTATTGCCCCGCAGTTGAGCTTGGCTTCTTCGACCCAGATCGGCTCGTTATATCCTACCCAATGCACCAGAAATTCTCGGTAGATCCGACCAAATCGCGTCTTCTTCTCACTCCGCACATCCGAGATCCGCTCGACTTCGTACTCGTCAGCTCCGAGATCTGGGACCCAGCTGTCCTCCGGAAGCAGGATTTCATCGAAGTCGGGGCGATACGATTCGTCCCCCTTGAGTTCTACTCGCGGCCGATCCGGAAAGTCCTTGACTAATTTCAGCTTCGACACGTGAACTGCTGGGAAGATCTGGTACCCAGTACCCGCGATCTCGAGCTTGATGCTGAATTCGTTGAGTTGTTCGGCAACCCGGTATGGCCCATATCACAGGTGAGCCAATTTCCACGCGTATCCTTCCTTCACCCGGTCTAGGTATAAGCAGACGCGAGACACAGCCTCGATCTTGTGCGATCCGACGTCCTCATTATGTCGGCTGGCCAGATCTGCAATGGCTTCCCTCAATTTGGCGTTGACTTGCCCCCGGGACTGCTGATAATGCCGCTGGACCCAATAACGCCACCGCCGCGCATCTCGATCGCGCCGTTCAGTGCATCCGACTGGAAGTTTAGCCTCCAACGTCGATCTCGGATCCCACCCATGCACCAGATAATGAGGGGTATCCTCTCGGATCCGATCGTGGGCCGTGTTGATCGCGAAGGTAAGTCGCTCGGCATACTCATCCCAATCCTTCCGTTCCAGATCGCGAACGTACATTTTGAGCGCCCTGGTCACCGTCTGCACCATTCTTTCGGCGGTCCCGTTGGCTTGCGGCCAATATGCCATCGTCGCTTGCTGCCGTTGTCCCAGGATCTTGTTAAACGCTGGGAAGAAGTCGGACATGAACCCGGGTTCTCGATCATGCCGGATCCTCTCGCTGGCACCGAATCGCCGAAATACGCACTCTTCGTACGATTCCGCGACCGTCTGGGCTGACTGGGACGATCTAGCTTTCACGATCACGTATCCTGTGCACAGATCGACCCAGATCAATAGCTCCGTATTCCTCTTGTGGGATTTGGGCAGCGAAGGTATGTGATCCATCGCAATGATCTGGAACGGGTATTTCGCCTGCAAGTTCCCTGGTGATTCACCCCGTATCACCGGTTTTCCTTTTCCCGTTTCACAGTCCACGCATTCCCCCACATATCGCTGAACCCTCCGATATAGTCCTCTCCAGGGCAAGTGATCCCTAATCCGCTGGTAGGTACGCCCCACTCCCTGATATCCTCCTTCCAGCATAGTGTGATAGTGATGTAAGACGTCCGATTGCAGCTTTTCGGGAACTACCAATCTCAGCAACCGATCGTGATCATCCCCTGATCTCGGCGTGGGAGGGTAGTAGAAGAGTAGATCCTGTTCGTCCACTTCATAGTCGGCAACGATGTTGCCGTACGATCTTGCTTGCGCCTGCGTGAGGTCTGCGATCTCAGATACTTCTTCATGCCTGCGATCCAGACTTCCTCCTCCTGAGCCCGCCGGATCCGATCGGCCCGCATCTCCCGGTTCAGGTCCTCTTGCATGACTCCCGCGGGTGATCTTGCTCGAGAAGCTTGGGTGGTGACCGCTGCAACCCGCACCACTGGGTTCTCGGTCTTGGGAATTAGGATTTCGTCTAACCGGTTCAGGATGCCGAGGGCTTCGTGTTCGGGCCCTCCTTGGACCTCGATCCCGCCTTGTCGTTGCATAGCGGCACTCGCTAAACTGTCAGCACTCCTACTTCAGTCTCTCTTCACATGCAATAGTTCATTACCCCCCATTTCCTCAGGCGATCGAGGGCCTTCCGCTTCAATAGCGTCAGCCAGGGTGCTTTGCAATCGATCTCGCCCCGTACTTGTCGTATCACTAAGTTGGAAACACCGCAGATCACTAGGCGCTTGCGATCTAGGTTCTCTAGCATGTCGAGTCCCAGGAGCAGGCCGTTGTATTCTGCTTCGTTCACGGTGAGGCTCTCGAGATAGCCCGATCTAGCTTTGACCACCTCCCATCCGGGCAGACTCCACACGATCGCGCTGAACGCGCCCCCGCCACGCTTCACTCGAGCCAATCCATCAAAGCCGACCACCCATAAATCCTCTTCTCGATACACGGTGCGTATAGGAGTTTGAATCCGGCGTTTATGTTCCTTCCGAGGGGCGATATCAATTAGAGCGTCGTCCGTCTTCGCCCTCGGCGTGATGCTGGCGCTATCGCCCCCGTATCTTGTCCTCGCCTTTCGTGCATTTCGTGATCTCGTGAGTCCACGGGGCCAAGAGGGAATGACCATTGCCCTAGGCGACCCTGTAATCCTGTCGACTGGAACAGCCAGACTAACGTGGAATGCCTCGTTAGGACCCGGATCTCGCGTCCTACTAGTAAATTGTAGTAGAGATCCAAGATCGTCAGCAATGCCAACACCTCATTTTCGGTCACATTGTAATTCAACTTGTTCGTCTTCAGGGTGCGGCTGGCGAACGCAACCGGATGGTAGATCCGGTCGTGTTCTTGTGTCAACGAAGCGGATATTACCCAATCACTGGCATATACGATAACTACCGGCGTTCTCGCCTCATCGAAGTGGCGGAGAATTGGGGTCGCCGCGATCTTGGTTTTCAAGGTGGTGAATGCCTTATGTGTCATGATCCACCTCTCATCTAATGGTTCCGCCAGCCGCAGTTCCTGTGGGCCGTGATCTCGTTCAATCGGGTCGTTATGGTTCATGACCTTCCTCAGGTCCGATCGTTTCCCCAGTTCTGCGAAGTCACCTAGCGTAGTTCATGTAGCACCGAAGCGTAGATAGCGTAGTCTTCAATGCATCGGCTGTAGTAATTCAAACTAACCGGGAACGCCTGCATGGATCGAAGTGACCCGGGGAATGGCAGATCGGTCAGGGATGTCAGATCTTTTGGGTTCGCCTCTAGGCTTTCGATCGACACTCGGTGCCCCAGATATCCTACCTTATCCATGCCCCAGAGGCTATTCGCCACACTGATCGATAAATTCCACTTATCACAAGCCTCCAACAGATCTTCGACCCTTTGGTACATTTGATCCTACGATTCTGCAGCGCTCATGATGTCGTCAATATATGATCTTCGTCCCAACACTGACCCGCGATCCCTGTCTGGAACACGGCCGTTGTAGTTCCGGCGTCGCCTGATCGCGAGATTATCAGAAATCCATACAGTGCGTTATCTACGACGCGTTGATAAATCTGCGGGGCATTTTCAGGCCAAAAGGCATACGACTCCATTCGAATAGTTCAAACGGGGTGATAAATGCTGAGATTTCGCGAGCCCGATCCGTCATGGGCATTACTCAAAAGCCACTGGCCGTATCCAGCGAGCAATACCATAACGCCTTATCAAGGTCCTCTAGCAAATTGCTGATCAGGGGCGTAGGGTAGACCATCATCCTCGTGATGCTGTTTACTAGCTTGTAGTCGATGCACAAACTGATATCTACACCATTACTCTTGCAGACAATCACGATTAGTAAGGCCCATGGCGATGTCGAAGGTCGGATGTTCTCGGCTGCTAGGAGGCCCTTGATCAGTCCTGCGAGTTTTTCCCGGAATCACGTTGGTACTTTCCGGGATCGTAACGCGATCGGTTTCGCGTTTCTGACATCGATGTCACACACGACGCCCCTGGCCGCCCGAGGTAGGGCGTGTCGATCAGGCGGTGCTGGTTCTTCCAAATGATCTGCCGGAGCTTCTCGATCTCCTGGCCGATCCGGAGTCTCCCACCTGCAGATCCACGATGCTGACCTTTGCGGTCGTCGAGATCGGAATTTCGGGGAGGACAGAGAGGTTCCCCTCGCGATCTTCAGCTGAGAGATCACCACTCTCGTGGTAGTATATCTCATCATCGTCCTCGGCATCCTGTGGGGCGGTCGCTGCTGCTCCTTCCGCCGACGGATCTTGTAGTTCGACGCCCTCGGTCGGGTGGATCGGGGATTTTACGTCGAAGGCTTCGCCGGATTCGAGTTTGATCCGGGCTTGACAGTTCGGATTTCCCGTTTTCGGCTCGATATCCTTGGTCCCAGTCTGATATTCCGTCGTCGGCTTGATATCCTTTGTACCAGTCCGATCGATAACCTGGTCCGGCATGCTCTCACTTATCCCACCGCCCCCAGCATATCCGCTCCGGTATCGATCGGCGTTGGGATTTTCCGGTGGCGTAAATGGATGGCCCCCTTCCGGACTGGGAAACCCTGCCTCGATCTGGGCTGCGTTGTCAATTCCCGTCCTCGATCGAGTCTCTAGGGTCGATATCAACGTTCGATATATGTCGATGACAGCGGTTTCTGAGCGGCGAAGTATCGATCGTGGTGTGGGATACGTTGGTCGTTGATCTTCTGGTTCTGCAGGGCCCTTCATATGTTCTGGAGGCTCTGATCGAGTATCCACCGTCGATGCCAATGCCAGATTCTGCCATTCCCGGTAGCGGCGAGACCCGACGGACAAGAACCCTGGGGATCGGGGTACTTTGGCCTGATCCAGTATCATACCAACGTCCAGACGGTGGTCCAGCTGTAGGATCTCTTCCCCAATGTTCGAGATCATCAGGTAGCGGATCCGACCGGGGCCTTCCGTTACTGTAGGTACTCATCGTTCTCCTCTGGTCACCCACAGTTTCTCTGTGGCTGACAATTTTATCCTCGCCGCGGTTTCTTCCGACCGACCAACAGGGATTCGCAGATTCTGTTCGAGGACCACTGATCTCACCTTCTGGTAATACAGTCTCTTACGGCCATTAAGCGGTATTCCAACCTCGTCAGGCAGCCGCATCGATCCGTCAGCGAGGTCCATTCGCACGCCGGTCGGGACCATGAAATCTATGCCTAGGATCGATAGGTTTCCGATCCAAATATCGAAAAAATACACCAGATATCCCGCTAACGTGATCTAGATCCTGGTCCTTCCTTCCGTAGTATACACATTGTCACCGATTCCCACACATTCCTGTCTCTGACTTGTGTCAAAATTGCATCTCACCTTACGAGCAAAGGCGGTGTCCAAGATTGATACTTCAGCGCCAGTATCTAGGAGGAGGGTCGCTCTCTCATGATTGATCCTTCCTGAGATCTTGGCTTGTCGGAACCATTTCCCCGGGGAATGACGTTTCCAATACCCCCGGGACTCTCCCCTTTTGAGATCTAAGGCCACTTCCGTATTGGATCTGCTGAATTCGCTGATCTGAGGGAGGCTAGCGATCTTGGCGGTGTACGAATGTAAATTACATGTACTACCACGTAGACCCGACTCCTTCCTACCTCGATCTGTCGTCGTCTTGTTCACGTAGGCGTAGATTCAATATCTAGAACGCTCGGCTCGTACCGGATTCCACCCCGGCGAGCGTCCTAGTTTAACATCTTCTCAACTTGGTCGGGGAACAGCCCGGCGTGTCGAGTCGGATCATACCATTTGCGTATCGGATTGTAGAATTCTTCCATGGGGCATTCTCCAGCTTCGTGGACATCCCCGCATCCACGACACGCATACAGACAGCGATCCGTAGAGTGACCTCTCTTCCTACACTTTTCACATGTCAGATGCTTCCAACAATCCAGACCCGTGTGTTTCCTGGAACCACACTGAGAACAGCAGTCTCGATCTTGGTGATCTCTGTCTCCTGGGTTGCGACGCTCGGGTATCCGGCCTCCCTCAGACGCTTTCGTTCGGGATCGTGCTGGATCTGAGTTTTGCGAGGCACCCCCAGTACTGATCAACTTCTCTTGTGCCGCGGCCAGGAAGATCCTTCGAAGTTCACCATCCGAGTCGGATCCGTCAGATCCCGATACCCTTCTGACTCGGATCTCGGATCCTGCGTTTGGATCGCGCGTACCATGGCACGGGCTGGCGCAGCCGGAGCGGTGGCCGGGGTCTTCTGTTGGAATTTTGACCCGAACGCGGATCTGCGTTGCCTGCTCTTGGCTCGTTCCCGCGCACGGAGAACTTTCTCAAGATCGTCGACGTCGGCCAATCGTAATAGTGTTAGGCGGTCTGCCAACTCGGGATCGCCCGACGTCTCGATGTAATGATCGACGTGTTCCCGGCGCGCCTTTGGATTTCCGTCCTTGATCTTGAGTTTGGCTCGTAGAGCGGCCATGTTCAGTCGATAGAGATAATCAAGCGGGGACTCATGGATCTTTTCCGGGCATGGTTGTACTGCCACGTCACTGACATACCCAGACCGCAGTATTGAATCTGGAAACTTTCGAGTAAACCCGCCCATTTGGTCTTGGTAGTCCGACTAAGCTGTCGGTGCCAGTTCTTGGCTGATCCCACCATCAGATTCGCGAACGTGAGGCATTTCTCCTCTTCCGTTGCTTGATCTCGCTGGAACGCCGATTTCACCTTGCCGATCCACGCCCTGGCGCGATCTTCGTCCATATCCTACCCGGGAATTCATTCAGATCCGAGAAGGCCAAAATCCAGACTCTTTGGATCAGCGCTGAACCCATAGAGACGATCTCCGCCGTGGCGACCGCAGCTCGGCTGGAATTATGACCGGAGGGGCTTGGAATCCCGAGATCGTTGGGATCACACTCCCAGGAGTCAAGATCTGGGGTGCCGACTGACTCCATGTCGATATCCTGCGTTCCGAGGGGTGGTGATTGCGCCGTCACCAGGCTTTGATCCTTCAGGAATCAATTCATCGCCATCTGGAAGTATTTTTCCAGCCTGTTGCTAAATCCGGTCGAATTGGTCGTCGTAGTGGTTCGTCCTGCTGGGATCTGGCACGATCGGGCTTCTCCGGAGTCGGACTCGGTCCTGCCGGCCGTTGATCCGGCCTGTTCACGCGTGATCTCAGATATCTGGCGCCCGAAAGACCTAGCGACATGCGCTGTGGAGCTCGGGGTGAATCTGAATCGGGTTCCGAGAGGGTCGACGCGTAGTGTGACGACCCGGTCTGGTAATTCAGATCGGGCGTTTGTATGTGTTCGCCGACCACGATCTTGAGCGAGTTGTAGAGATCCTGGGTCGCCGCCTGGATCGCCCCCAGTTCCATCTCGAACAGGGACCGGATCAAATTCTCCAGCTACTAGCCTGGCCTCCTGGAGAAGATCTAACAGGATCTTCACTGTATTCAGCCTATCGGAGCTGGTGTTGGGCTTGAATACCGGGTCTGTCACATCGCCAATCTGGCGGACCGGTATGATCGCGAGAACAGGGTCATGTAGCTGTGTTTCGCTCAGGATCTTCCGATAGTAAGCCTGCTCGATCATGTCTTTGGGAATGGCCGATCTCGGCTTTTTCACGTCTTCCGTTTCCGAATCTGGTGCCTTCAGCTTCGTCCGAGCGGCCTTGATCTTCTTTTTCTTGGACGATCTTTTCGTGGACGCCAACTTGGTGGACGGATTGAGTTTCGACTTTGTCATTTCCTTGTCGGTTGTGTCTATGCATCGATTGCAAGATGGTCAATGCGGTCATTGCAATCATGGAATACGCCATGCCTCTGGTCGACGACCTGTTGACCGAGCTGGAGAATTACCTATGGTTCTGTTCGTTGGATGTCGCCTGTGGAATTTGGGCGATCATGATGACGATGCGTGCGCGCAAGACTTCAGTGTTCGTTTGTGTGTTGGGGTACTGTGAGTGGCTCCGAATACCATTAGGGCTGAGGAATTCTCCCATGATCTACCAAAGGATGGTCGATAATGCGCTATGGGGCTTTGTACAGCCTAAAGGTGGATGTGGGCGATATGCTTAACGAACGAAACTCGCTGAAGAAGCAGCTAAACACCAACGATTACTCAGATTTCACCCTGACGACGACTCGGACCAAGTTTGAGGCGGATCGACAAACGTCATCCGAACTGGATCCGGTGTTACGAATGGTGAGCGATCCATACGCAGACATGTTTGCGACTAATGAACCGGACGAATCGTCGCTAGTCCCAGTGTTCCAGCGTCGATCCTTTGTAGACGACATTTGTTTTGGTGGTACTACATTTGACGACTGCTTGAGTACCCTGGACAAGTGCTGGCGCGGTTTGAGGAATGTAGGATCAGCGTCAGCTTTACTAAAAGCATCTTTTGTCAGTCTAAGGTCGACTTTCTCTCTCACGAGGTGTCGCCAGAAGGAATACGAGCTGACCCCAAGAAGATGACAGCCATCTCCAAGTTGCCGTTCCTCAAGTCGAAGAAAGGAATGCAACAATTCCTCGGCTCTCTCAACTACTACAGTCGCTTCATCCAAGACTTCGCCGTCTATGGAGCCGCGCTATATCAGTTGAAGGAAGACGATTTCTTCGACGTAGGTGACTTGGTTGCAGCCAAAAAGAGCTTTTCTGTGCTCCAACGAAAAGTGGCTGACGCCCCAATCCTACGTCATTTTGATGCAAAGAAGGAGGTACACATCATGCTGTACGCCAACGAGTGGGCGTTGAGCGCTACCTTGATGCAGATGCACGACGACAAACTACATCATGTCCACTTTTGTGGACGAGTTCTCAAGGACGCCGAGATGAATTTTCACTCGGCTGAGAAGGAAGTCTTAGCTTTGTTGCTGTTGCTCAAGGTGTGTTACACCCAGCTGGCGGGAAAGACACTACATGTGCAC